AAAATGGGGACACTATATAATACATGGCCCCATCACATTCATCATTTATTTGTGGTCAATCTCTAATTGATACCTAAATATAAGAGTGCATTATATTCAAACATACACACACTGCAATTTTTATCTCAATAATTGTATAACTTTTCAAGAATCCATCATATTGTATTATTGCTATCTAATGTCAAGAAATTTATGACGACACACAATAGAGCAATTCCTGTTGAACATGAATTACTTAATTAATTTGCAATGGCATATAGGGAATTAATATTTTTTAATAATTTCATAAGGAGAAAATACTAATTACCAGTATTTTAAATATCGTACTGTACAGGACGTTAACGAATACTCGTGATCCGGCTAAGAAAACCTTTAAAATGCCATTTAAGCAAAATATCGATTTATATCGAATTCATATAAAAAATAACAATGGTTGTACTTAAAAATACCAACTAAAATACAAGATGTATCGAATTTTTTTGAACTTTTTACTTTTTTTATAATTTTATCAAGCTTTTACATAAATTGAAAATTTTACACTTAATTTTAATATATTTACATTCATATTAGATTTTAATCAATTTTAGTATTAATTAAAATTGGTTTTCACATTATTTATGTTATACATAAAACTTATACATTTCGGTTTGGCCAACTAAGTCTAGAAATGCATCAAGCACGATGAAAATTAGGCATGCCTCTATATGACCCTAAAGTTTGCTTAAAGGAACAGTATGAGAAGCCATATTACTAATGTTGTATCGATCCACATTCAAATTTAGATGTCGATTTGTTTATATTCCTTCCCTCTGAAGATTACCAACCTCTCTTCAATGTAAACGGGAATTTACGAAGCAAACTGTTAAAGTGACTGCACAGTCGGTCCCATCATCAAAATGAGAGTTTTGCATGGGGAAACGTGTCACCTCCCTACACCTTTAGCTGGCTCATAGTCATGATTATTTGTCTGTTTTTTTCTATGCATAAATTGAGCCTCTTGAGGTACATAAGAAGGCTTGAGGATGAAGAAAATGAGAAGAAAAATTCTTTAAATCAGTGACGTGTAGTACTAGTAAGAGGACAAGTAGGCATATTTGGGTCACTTGTTGTCATGACAAGTGTGCGTATAAAATCTTTAATTTGCTTGCAACACGTTTTTTATAATCTAAGGATAAAGCGTGTGTCCAAAGGATTGAGGCCACAATATCAGGGTTGAGCACATGACTAAGAGATTCATAAATATTGGCTATGATTCTATAGATTCATAAAATATCTGAATCGAGAACCGAACTTAAAAGAACCATACTGAACCGATAACCAAACAAGAACCGATTTTAGTTCATAAAATTCATATAAATATAATATTTCATCTTATGCTTTCTTTTCATTTTTGTACATATTTGTATTTAAAGTTAAACTGCAAATAAAATCCAAATAGATTAAGTCTATGTTCTTTGTTTTTCGAAACGATAGATAATATTATAAATCAAAATACATAAATGTGTGGACACACACAGCCCCTAGCTAAATGGAACAGTTAGCCAACAACTGAAAAAGTGGGAGGATAGATCAGAAGACCGCCTAGAGTCTCGATACTAGCAACACTAGAATAACAACATTCGCAACTACACTAAAACCAACTACACAAACAAAAACTACTAAAAAAGATCCCACAAGGAAAATACCCGAGCGTCCGGTCCCAACAGGATAATAAGTTGACACTCGGGCTCCCAGAGGCCAACGGCCCAAACCTAAAATACAAATACAAACACAAACACAGACGCATACATCACAACACAAGCACAACAAAAAAAACTAAAAATAACAACATTGCCCTTCCCCAGCAAACGAAAAAGCCCAACCAGTAGTGAACAATCGACACAAGAATGATTCCAAGCCCGAGAAACCACTACCGAAAATGCATAACCGCCTATATAGTAACAAAAACCGAGACCCGAACTAATCCCCGAATCGACCCGTCTCCAATCGAGAGGAAAACGACCAGCCCCCACACCAGCCCCACCCGAACTCGTCTAACACCACTA